CTCTGTGGACCACGTCGCATCTTCAATATTCATATAGCTGTTCAGGGATTTGCACTCCGTCGTTTCCATGCTGTCAATGCTGTCGAAGGCATTTTCAGATTCGATGAATTTGATGAGGATATTAAATAACAATCCCATGCCCTCTTCGATGGTGAGGCATAGCGTTGAGATTTCATGTGCACATGAGTTGCTTTTCCTGAATCAAGCTTCTTCCTGAGCCCGTTTCACATTCATAACAACGCTTGGTCTCTCCAGTATGACACAACGTAATATTTTGGTTTGATTAGTTGTGAGTAAGATTTCCGTCCAGTGCTTGCAGAGGCAGAACTCGCCATTCTTTGATAATATGATAAGGTAGCCTGTTCTTCTGTCCAGCGTGTGACATTCCTTCGATCGCAAACTTCTGCTCCAGTGGCGTGCGTATATCGCACGAGGTACTTCTGAATGAGTTACATATGGTTCTCTCGCCCACTCTGATTTCTAGTGAATTCATGGTATTCGAAACGTCTGCTTTTGTTAGAGGATTGGAATTCACTGCGTGTGTGATGTAGTTGCTTTTGATGGTAATTCTGGACAAGTTGCGAGTAATGGTCTGTTAAGGAGTCAATATTCTTTCTCCTCTATGCTAACAATCTTCCCTTCACCATGCATCATTGGCTTCATCTATGTTGATCTCTTCTAAGATACCGTTATGTTGAACGGATATAGCGTTCCAAAGTCTCGCTCCTGAGACCTATTCTGCTTCAGTTGACAATATGTTGCGATTGATCATCATCTTTATTTTGTGTCCAGCAGGCTGCGCTATCATATTCCTGAGACTGAGATGAAGCTAATCTCAAATTGAGTGTGTCCATCTGCTGAAACCTGTGTCACTCTGTGCATGCACTCGAGAACTGAGTGAAAGTACGGAAGAATGTAGAGGGTTCACCGTCCTCATGCTCTTCTTCGACAGCCCATAGACATATCATGGGTCGCCTTCTCGTTTCGCTTGTTCCCGTTTTTTTGTTATGACCTTTCTATTTGAGGTCATGTACACTACTCATTGCAGCTGTCTGTACAATTCTCCACTTTCCTCTCGGTCCTCGTCTCTTGTAGGAGTGCATCACAGGGATCAAGTTCGTTTTATTTGTGCCTAGGTTATATGTGTGTGTTGCGTACGTGTGAGTGGACAAACCCGAATTTGAATTGAACTTCAGAACGAGAAAACGATGTGGATGGTCTCTGTCGGAACGAAGTCGGACACTGAAATGTTACCACAGTCTGAAAAGCGAAATCATTGCACCCAGACATTGTAAAGAGATAATACATTGTGCAGCATGATTACAAGAAACCATAGGGGTGAATATATACGCAGCTTCGTGTTTTGTTTTGATCACAAAAGTTGAAATGAATCAGTGGAAAATGAATAGACGAAGAATTAAGTGTATGAGTAGAACGACATTTGAATTTATCAATTGTGAGATGGATATGCGTTGGTTAAAAAAACTCCTGGTTCATTCTACTCAGCCTCAAATATTCTAGCGCCTACTTCTCGAGTAGTTCACACAGTAGCCAGTCTTCCCGTGATTAGCGTATTCCCTGGGTATTACATTGATTTGATGAGTAATAATTATTCTACCATCGTCAATCAGCCGATACTCAAACACGCAAGACTTTCCTCATCTAGAAGTGATAATAGAGTGATCGTAGGTAGGAAGTCTCATCTACTTGTGATTTTGAAGCTGAATAACAAAGTGATAAACTAGATGGACAAAAGTGTGCTGTTGACTGTTCAGGGTTACTCACAGTGCACAACACACAAATGATCAATCCTTTCACAGAAGTCTACAAACAATAAATGTTTTTCTCAAACTCCTTCAGCGTGCAGGAGGAGTGAACGACTAGAAAGCGTTTGGTAGATTTGAACGAAGGAGAATGCAGAATTGCGAAGATGAGTGGGGAATGGAAAATAAGAAGTATAAACACAGCATCATTTCGCCAGGCGAAATTCTCTCAACAAATAACCTGTTTCAACTGAGTTTACTCCACGCACTCATTTTGTGTTTGCCAACTTCATACAGAAATCCTCAGACTTGAACACTTGTATCAAAGTAAATGGGCGAAGGAATTTCTTGAGGGTAAGTTCTATCGTACATGCTCTTGATTCTATGATGTTCGTGAATCGAACTGTGTGTTGAATAAATGCCTAAATATTCAGTGAAGTAAAACGTGGTGAAAGGTTATCGGAAATGCATTGCAGTGTCATTCTAGGTGACCAAGGAATTCAACTACTGCACAAAGAAATCAACAAAAGCAGTATTTCAGAGATGTATCTGTAGGTTTCAATAACACAGAAGATTCTCTCACGAAATATTCATCAAGGTCTCATGGAGAAACCTCGAGTTGAGGAATGCACTTCATATACTCATTTTGCAAAGTACTCCAGTTGACATCTCTCCAATACGCATAGCATTAAGTACTGAATCGCAACATAAACTGTGACTACATTTAGCCATCTGCAGAATGAATACCATTGATTCACCTGCCAATATTCTTTCCAATACGGAAACAATAAAGCATGATCAATAAGAAATTTAACTCATCCAACAAGTCATCATGCAACTCAATTTGAAAACAAACAGCTTCTGTACGATGCTTTGATTTGTGTTGCCGTACTTTCCACACCCCACAAACCATCAGTCAGCATTTCACATATTTTCTCACTGTCTCCTTCCTACCGTGTTTCCGAGAACAAGTAAAACATTTCCCAAAATTGTCTACACTTTTACAGCCATCAATGCAGCAGATAAGAACCTCGTCAATGTTTATACTGGTAGGTTATTTCATCCTAAAATAATAACCAGAGTGCATGTGACAAAATCGTTTTATATCTGATGAAAACGCCCACCTCGTTACTGTTTGTGCAACGATCGTCCGCTTACCATCATTTTCTGTGACAGATGTCACCGGAGATGTTCACAGTTATTTTTATTTGACAAAGCTAACCAGTGAAGTCGTTTTTGCTATGCTGTACGAATGCACAATAATCTGCTGAGTGTAGTACTGTCGAACTTATCGTCAATTCAATCACGACTGCCATGGTATTCAGCAGCGAAACAGTTCCCTCTATCATCCACTATCTCCACAATGTCTTCTCCATAGTGGCCTCTGTTTGATGATTATTAGCAGTCGTGTAATCCGATCCATGCAGGAGGTGTCTTCATTCAACCCGAACTGATTCGGTGAACAACATTCATCCACGATATCTGTTGACAGTGATGCACTTTACTCTTTCATTTTGAAATGTCTTTCACAATATGACGAAGATTCAACACTCTTCGAAATGTCATCTGGTCATCAGTGAACTTAATTCACACTTTCATGCTAACACGGTGTACAAATATACACATCAGATTGTTGCCTATTCGGGGAATTAAATATGCACCAAACAATACTTCCTTTCTTTGTAGATGAATACAAGAAGGCATTGGAAGAAGACAATGCTTTTCAGTACAAACTCCATGGTATGATTGATTTTTCTTAACTGGAAGTCGTGGTAGTACCTAATCTGAAATTCACTGGTCCATTGAAATTAAGTGATCGATTCTGTGAAGAGTGTACACAACATTTTGAACTGGTGTTTTGTGTGAAGTCATCTTTTCAATCTATCATCTTGTTTGTTTTCCACCCATATCAATCACACTTCTCTCCCAAAATATTCTCGAGAGACATTCCGTGAGGTTAAATCAGATCATCGTTGGGAGATTTCTCTCCGAAGTAGACCGCCATCTCATTTGTTACTTGTGTGGAATTGTTACCAAGATCCACTGTTGCGACGAATAACATTCCAGTGGTGTTCAGAAGATTTCCGTTTATTTTTTCATTGATTGATGACGTAATAATTTCAATTGGTGATAATCTTCGTAGTTTGTTGTATATATGGTTAAATTGCTTCCTACACTTGCACGGAAAACTGATCACGTTCGCGGTGCATTATACACGATTGAGCTGGATTCATTGGTTGGTACTTGACAATGTGACGAAATTTATTGGATGCTTGAAACTGAGTCATGCTAAAACATCCAGATAGATTAGCACTGTCTTCATGTCAGAGGAATACTCCACAACTGAACTAGTCATGTAGTCTACATCTTAAAAACCTTATGAGTAACAATTATACCTAATGAATTCGCATTTATTCCTTCAGCTCATCCGGAATCATTCAAACGAGTGAAAACTCATATTTCAAGTAAATGGGAAAACCGGAGAAATCTCGATATTGCTGAAGGTAATATTTTTATGATTGCATTATGTGGTAAGGCAGTCGGTTATCTGATACTTTGTAAAGAAGTGAATATTCTTATTCTGTAACCAGGTGAAGTCCCTAAAGCGACAGAAAACTTCTCAGTTTACACAATATTTACCACAACACATTGAAACGCAAACAGTTACTCTTGAACATCACACTGACGAGTATGAATTCTGAACAACGAAAGCGCGACACATCAATTGCTGAAAGTCGTAATATTAAATTTAGCAAGAGTTAGCGATGATGCAGGAGAAAATAACACTGTGTAGGAGTGTTTTGTAGATTTCAATGGCACTCCTCACTGATTTATGTTCATCATCGTGTTTACTTCGAGGCCTTTTGAATTTCATCGACTTTTTTCATCAGCATTGATAATCTTATTTAATATATATAAGCTCACGCGCTATCCACATAACACACAGCAGTGAAAAGAATACGGGATAGTAGGCAAACACCATGCATGTATTCACTTCGTCATATTTAGTCAATAGAATCAGTCGAAAACCTTGCCATCGATGTGGATTTGACAGAACATGCACTGGTTGGTCTGACAGCATATTCCAACAAAGCGTTCTTCTTAGTGAACAGTTTAACTGAGCGGTGTCCTTTGAATTGACGTTAGTTGAATCCATCTTTAAATAAATTAATTGTGATGATGTCAGATTCATTGTATACCCGGAAGTTGAATAACAGTGTGATGTATCAACTGTAGGTAAATTTTTTGCGAAGATATCAGGAAATTTGAAGAAAGACAAAGGTTGGTTTTCTTTCATTTTGAAATTCATCGCCGTAACTTGTTAGCTGTTCTGAAATATTCCTCTTGACTTTGTGAATAGTGTTTCCTCCTTGATTTCATTATTACGCATGACCACAACTCCGCTGAACTAGAGTGACATGTATTCATAATAAAAGATATCTGAATATCCTTCATTGACGATCAGAAATGTCATCCAGCATTCTCGAGTTGTTTGAATATGCGTGAAAGCTATTTCCACGCATCCGAACACTTCGGGTGCTGTCCAAATTCAGTGGACATCAGCTTTTCAGTACTGACACATCACACACTCACATCACAGTCTCGAACTCTGGGTAAGTGTATTTCAATCGGAACTCTATTCACTGAAGAATCATCTTGACGAGCAACACGTGATTCCCATTGCCACATTCAAAAATGGTGTTCACATTTCCTCACCAACAAGTACAAAGTAGATTAAATGGTTTGATTATTATTGAGCGCGTATTGTGTGTGTGTGTGTGCGCGCGCACTCGTCAACATCCATGCCTCACATAATGTGGTCTACGTAGAAACAATGGAGAGAAGCACATTCACGCAATGAAGTATCAGTCCATAACATGCAATCACTCCTCAGAATGTAACATGCCCTGACAGATGCAAAATGTAAGATGAGAAACAATTGACACAACTAATCAATCATTCAATGATTTGACAGATTATTGGTCAACAGTTAAATATTCTGTGGAAACGGTGATTTTCTCTAAAATGGACAAAGTTGAGTAATGCTAAAGTGAAGATGGAAAATGCACACAACTGCAGCATAAATGCAGTTTACACCTGGTCAGGGCATTTGTCTTACTGATGATATCAGTAAACCACTCGAAATGTCGTGTGATAAGTTGGACATTATCAACAGGAAGACCATGTATTATGACAGTCAGTAGCCATTGCGTGTATCTGATTACTTCACGTTGGGCAATAAATACATCATGAAACATTCCATACTTTCCAATACTGTGAAATTATAGTTCAAATTGAAATGACAAAGAAGGATTTGATGGAAGCGAAGGAAGCAGTGAAGACATTCAAAGGTAAAATGATTCTCTAAATTTGTATTGCACACTTTGTTCACGAACAGCAAACTGTTGGTAGGAAAACTCACTCGGCATTGTGATTATAGTTGGTCGTTCAGTGTCCCAATCACTCATCAGGGATACACAGATTAATCAGGTTTTATTGGGTATCTTTCTCATCATCAGCACATTAACTTCTCAGAAATATCAAGAAGGTCAGATTTACCATCAGTGAATTGGCACTCCTTTCGTGAGGATTGGAACAAACTTTTGAAAATGAATGCAGTCACTGTGTAGTGAAGAGCAGCCTGTTGAGAAATAATCAAATTATTATGACACGCTTCTGGATCGTCAATATATTGTATTCAGTATGATGGTGAACATGACATTGAAGTTTCTTGATTGACGATTTGAACGTCATTCAACATTTCTTGTTTTCTTAGCTCACATTAAGCAGCTGGAAACGGAAGCAGTCAAAGCGACTGTAGCATACAGAAAATCGCCAGGTGAGTGAATATTTTCCTCAATTCGATTGATGTACACTGAGGTGCAATGAAGCTATGGACAGGCCTAGTACGATTCACCAATGGATGAAGGTGGTGATGATTAAATATGAGACGTAGACGTGTTTAATTAACTGCAAAAGCACAGACACCTGATAAACATTATTCTCGACAACTATTTAATAATCTCCACTCAACTGTACGAATGACTTGAAACCGAGATCGACTCGCAATTTAGTTTCCATTGGGGAGCAGACAGGAGTGTAGACCAAGAATGTAGACATTATAGTGAAGATAACATGGACTCCAGAAGTGGAATATTTTGCACTCTGGTAGAATATCATTCGATATTAGATTAGTTTAGTGAATGGATCTCACAGTGACACAGTGCCCTTCATCACTCGATGACAGCTCTGCGCCAATTTATCTCTAATAATCGTGTCACATGATTGTGTTATCATTACGCAGGTTATTTGCGAAGAATGAACAAGGAGACATCCACAAGTGGTAAGCGGACAATTTTAGCCTGCTTAAAGTATTCTGAAGTAAAAAATACATTCATCACTAAGCTACATGTGATACATTTGTAACTCAAAATAATGACATTTCGACAACAAGAAACTTCCGGAGTTCACGTTTATTGGAGAATGCGATCACGATAAATGGCTCACGCTAACTAACTCGATGTCACAAACAACAGAAATGTTGATCGTCAACAGGCAAGCATTGAATCAGCAGAATATTAAATGGTATTTTGAATATAATGTAAGTCATTTTTGAAGCTCTGAAGTTTGAAGATCATGTCGAGGTAAGGATGACAGACCAATCAGATGATAATTAGGAGTAAAAATTTACTCACTGATGGTAACTGGAAGTCGTACATATTACTTACACGCATTTCATTCCACATTGAATGTACTTGTGTGAAGTATTTCCCTTCATCACCATCAAGTACTTGTGCGACTATGAGTGTAACAACAAGTCGTTATTCCTTTCAGACTCACCAAACGATGTTGAAATTACGAAAGTGTATCAGAAGGCTCGTCATGATTTTGAAGACGCCATAGGTAATTTTGCTTAGTTATTTGAGTTGATCACATGTGATATTTCATAGTTCTACTGATGAATTCATTTCTCAATGAATTTCATCCTCGTAAGAAACAAAAGTAACCTGCATTGACAATGACGTATACATCATCATGTCAATGGATCCACTTATACCGAATCAGGCTATATCATTTACAAAATTAGCACAGCTGCTTGTCAAACTCAAACTGGAATCTACATACTGTTAGACAATCGGTGACGATTAAGCCGGAAACATCCATGCACAAAAGGCGACTTCATCAATGCACTATGCAATAAACTGAAAGAAGTTTATCATCTATGAACAATAACAGTCAAATTGAAACTACGTGACATGATCGAGCATAATGAGATTTGATCTACACACTTCACAGTGTTGCAGTATAACATTGAAAATGCTAGTGATGCTTCACTGACAATGTGTTCACTGTTTCAGAGGAACTGAAGGACAAAATAAAACTATTGGAAATGAAGAGGATTGAATATTCAAAGTGTAAGTTGAAATATCGAAATGATTTACAACTGGCTAGTTCAAACCCCGGAAGATAGAATAAACTGGCTCCTGGCTGAAATGAAGGAAGATGCCGTGCAGTATTATTGAAGTAAGTGAGTAAGTAGGTAAGTTCCTACTTAGATGCTGAGAGTATTTGAAATTTCTAATCCACTGCACCACTGAATATGAACTTGAAAATGAATTTCGCCGTTAACCGAAATCACCTAGATGAATCCTTGAGAAACAAGTAACACTAAACGTCTGTTCGCTCACATTTCTTGACCACTCACCAGTCGACAAGCACATCATGATTGATTCACTTGCTGACTGGTCACGTGATCACAGTGGGCAGTTGTACACAGTCAATATCACGGCTGTAACAACTGTTCAGAACATCGGAAATTCAAGCGATGCTTGACAAAGTTGATTTCGTGTGAGGTGAATCGTAATTTTCAGTCAATCTGATAATCAAAACACCCTGCTCTGTGTTTCAACCTTCACTGGAAGCATCGCATTAAGATTACTGTCATTGTCAGCACCTAGGATGAGAATTGTCGACAGTGATTTCTGTTATACAAGATACGTGTCTGTCTATTTCCAACTCAGTTCTACTTCGCTTCTGGTTTCCCTTCGTTTCAGCTGCAGAAACGTAAAATCGGTTCTAACGGAACTCAAACACTATTAGTGGTGGGAATACATCGTTTGCTTATCTCCTTTTTATTTTATTAATTAAATACAACATTTTTCTTCTCAAGATCTTGTTTCGATTGGCGTTTCCTGTCATTCTAGTAGAGTGAGTTGAGTGAGAAGGAAGTAGCTAATTTTATTGGGTAGGCTAACGGCTTATGCACAACTCGGGGATTATTCTTTCGACTGACGATGTTTATTGATTAGGCGAGATGAAATGTCGATGATGAAAAGTGTCATAATATGCCGAAGACTACGAAGCACGTGGACAAACAGATAGATATCATATCACCTCAACATTTTTATTTTGATTGCCACATGCATTTTCATGAAATACAATAGCAGAGGCGACTTGTGGAGATCTAGCTACGTGGAGATTGATAACACGTTGGTTGGTTGTCTATAGGTTATTTTGTTAACCACAATGTATAACATAATATATTGAATGTAAATTCTCAGTTGCACTATGCGTCATTCGAATGGAGCGAACTCGCCATTCATGTTGTGAAAGAACATCCTGGTCTGAGAATAACAGAATTAAAAGCTACAATTTTAAAAGCCTGTAATCAGGTCAATATTATGTTTTGAGAGCTCTTATTTCCACAGTATTAAATTTCTTGATCATTGGAATGTGATCACAGATGTCGTAAATGTTTCAAAGAGAACAGAGATTATTCTGGAATTTTTGTGTACTTTTATGTAGTGGATATTAGTCGAAGCTAGTGAAATGACGACTCCCCTAACAACCTTGGAAATGACGTTCACCCACCATTCCACTGTGTCTCCTGTCAAGGGCGATTTATGAAGATTTGGACATCTAGAAACAGCGTCAGAGTGAATGGATTACTAGATGAGGTGGACACGAATGCGTTGAAAGGATTTTCTATCGTGAAGCGCGACTCTCGTCTGTGTCAGTCGAAATCTCAATCTAACAATTTGACACGATGATACTTGCCACATTTTTCATGTCACAGGGTATGCTTGCAGTATTGAGTTGACGCGTGTGTCTCGCTGTCTGTTTGTCCGCCTGTCCGTCTCTCCATGCATGCGTGTGCGTGAGTGTTTGTATGTTTGAGTGGTACGATGATCAAGTTGTTGCTGATGAGTGAGTGACTGAGTGAGTGGGTTAGTGGTCGAGTGGAGGGTTGAGCGAATGATGATTGCAGGTACATGTGAATAAGTCAACACATGCACATGTTCGTAGTCAAGTGATTGTTGAATGCATGCTTTTCATTACCAAATTACTCAGATGGTGATCTTTGAGGTATCTATTGGGGAGAAAGAGTGTGAGAGAGAGAGAGAGCGAGAACTGGGAATGCTTTGAAGTGATATTGGCGGCCTGTTTGACATCTGGGCTACCTTTTTCGTGCATCTACATATTGCATCTAATAAGTCATGTTTTCATTCCTAATTTTAATAAAATATGATCACAAATCGCATAAAATACAGTAATTCATTCATTAAACGTTTTAAACCATATGACTTTCATGCAACTAATAATGCATCTAATAAATCTAAGAGAAAACATCATGCTGGCTGGCAGCGTGCACTTAAACAGACACCTTTATATCGTACAACCATTCCTGTTATTGTCACTTCAAACTGCCGTTCACTTCCCAACAAAATTATGCATCTCCAGTCTCTCTTATCATCTGATACTTATCACAATACGGCGATTGTTGCATTACAAGAAACATGGCTCCATGAACTCTATGATGACAATCTGGTTTCCCTAAATGGTTTTACATTGTTTAGACAAGATCGACTATGCTCCAGAAAGAAAAGAGGTGGAGGTGTTGCAACTTTCATTCATTCTCAATGGTCAACTTCAAATAATGTATGTTTTTCTTACTCTAATGACTTTATTGATTGTATAACGGTCAAATGCCGCCCGAAACATTTATCCAAATTCAAATACGTCTTCATCTCTAACATTTATGTTACTCCTGGCTGTTCTGCATCTGATCTATCTGATTTTGCTGATGAATTCACTGAATTTGCCGTTACACATCTTGAAAACTCTTTATCAGTTGTCACAGGAGATTTTAACTGCTGTGATTGTTCTTTCCTCGTATCATTAGGTCATGCCAATATTGTTAAATTCCCTACTCGACTTGATAAAACCCTTGACCTGGTGTTCATTAATGATGAGGAAATATATGAAGTACGCCGACGTGCTCCTATCATGAACTCAGATCATTGTATTATTCGGATATTACCTAAGATATACAGCAGATCTCACTTTAATATCTTCTCAAATCTGTCCAAGAGAACACAGCAAAGGTGTTACTCACAAGAAAATATGCTCAAACTAAGATGTATGCTAAATGACACTAACTGGGAACTTTTCAACGAACACAAACTGGATGATACTATTTCCAATTTGACTGACTATCTTAAATTCTGTCTTGATATATGCTGTCCAAAACAGATAATTTTCAAAAGAATGGATCGTTTTTCTTCCCCTCATCTCAAAAAACTTCGTAGAGAAAAAGAGAAGCTGTACAAGACAAAGAATAAATCTGGTCTTAAGAAGATAAACACCCAAATTAAATCTGAAATCAAGAGACTAAACAACATTTATAATCAAACAATACTATCTTGTAAAACATCAGAAAACATATGGAAGCTTTTTAGAGAAATTACTGGTTGTGGTAAGCATAATAATTTTGCCTCTTCTATTGATGTAAATACTCTCAATAGATCTTTCATCCGCCCTCCAAATGTCCTTTCTGCCTTCAATTTAACTAATAACACGACCAGTGACTTTCATCGTTTCAATACTTCTGATGTTCTTAAATGTTTGAAATCTCTTAAACCTTCCCAGAGTCTAGGCCCTGATGGTATACCTGCCATTGTTTTAAAGAAATGTGCTGATATTTTAAGTAACCCACTTACAAGCATTCTCAATACTTCTTTTTCTAATAATAATGTACCTTCTCTGTGGAAAGATATTAAAATCATCCCTGTACCCAAGTCTGGTTCTGGAGATAGTGTTAAGTTTAGACCAATTGCCATTACCTCTCCTTTCTTGAAACTGATGGAGAAATTACTTTTACAAAAACTCATTCCCTCCCTAAGCTTCTCAAATGATCCAAAGCAGTTTGCTTACAAACAGGGTAGAAGTACTTTGGATGCTGCTGCTGTGTTTCATCACAACATTGTATCCTCCTTAGACAAAGGGGCCAAGTATGTCCGTTGTACTTTCCTTGATTACACATCTGCTTTTGACTCTGTACCTAGAGGCCTTTTGTTAAACAAGCTTAGCCTTACACAAACTGAGTCCTGGGCTATCAACTGGCTGCACTCTTACTTCTCCAATAGGATGCAGTACACGGTATATAATGGTGTAGCTTCCTCTCCTTTGCTTACTGAAGCTGGTGTTCCTCAGGGTGCTGTTCTCTCGCCGTTTCTCTTTTCCTTCTTCTTACATGACTTACCTCTCTCAGACGAAATCAACTTCGTCAAATATGCAGATGACCTGACTGTTTCGCTTCCCGTTAAGTCTCAGTCAGACTGCTTCAAATTAAATAGCTTCCTGTCGGACATCAGTCAGTGGTCTAAAATAAATGGCCTAACGCTGAATCCCTCAAAATGCCAGACTGTCGACTTCTCCTTTAGGCATAAACGAGATCTACAAACACTAGTAAGCACTCATGATGTCTGTAGAATCGAGGGGACTATAATTGAAACAAAGTCTAATGCAAAATACCTCGGATTAGTTATATCTTCCGACCTTACTTGGTCATCTCATATCCAAATGATTTCCAAGAAAGTGTTTCGTCTAACCTACTACATTAAGAAACTCAGACTAACTGGAGTCCCTCAACCTCTGCTTACACAATTTGTCAACTCTCGTATCCTACCTATTCTACTTTACTGTTCCCCGTTAGTCTTTCCTGGGTTACTGAAAAAGGATTATACCATCCTGAGAAGGATGTTGAAGGTAGTTAGCAGGACTAGCGGTGTAAAACTCAGTCAGCTCGTCACAACATTAGTGGATAAGCATCTGAATACATGTGAGAAATGGTCTAAAACCATACTCTCTGACCCCCAACACCCCCTCTATTCCCAACTCTCTCCCTGCATCTCATCAGGTAGAACCAGAAATCAGTATAAAATAATATATGCTCGCACAACCAAGTATAGGAACTCAACGATACCATATTTGGCCCGTGTTCTAAGTGACAGAGACAATGTTAGGCGTGAAACCTATGACTTGCTTTGTTGTTAATAACATAATTTTGGCCCTTGTTTTTTCCCCCTTACACTCTCTTATTTGTACTCTATAGTGAACAACCTTCTTAAACATACTTAGCTGCTTAAAATTATTATCATTGGCTTACATTTTTATTCTTTATTCTATTCCTTCTTTGTACATCTACTGGGTCCGACTATATTATCACTATGATTATTAAAAA